AACATATAATATACATTTTAATATACCACAATACATTACTAATTTCTATAGTCATATAATACATAAACACATAGCATCTCATATCACCATGACATATATGCACTTGTACCATGTCATTAGAAATACACATATCATTATATTAAATTATGTTCTCTTTTCAAAGCCCATGTACACATGTGAGAACTATAGATATGTGAGTCTATAGAGGTTGTACACTATGCTGTCACCACAGCCCGTATAATTGCACCAAAGTGCCACGTAGAATTGCACCGGAGTGTCGCGTAGAATTGCACCGTAGTTCCATATAATAATGTCCATAAGGATCACATATCATTCCTTAAGAATCATATACATATACTAGGGATCAAGTATGTGTCTCACAAGACTTCACACATGTTCCAAAGAATACATATATGCCCCGAAGGACCGCGTAGACCCTCGACTCTTGGCATGCCAACTATACCCCTAGCTCTCATGACACATAACATGGGCATTAATATTTATGTTAACATATATTCACATATACACATAGTCATGCAGTCCTTTCACATAGCTCATTGTTATATAAATCACATATCCCATATACATATAAACACATGGTTCACTTACGCGTAGAACATTTTCATATAATCACATAGTCATATAATATTTCATATAACATATATTTTCTCTTTCATATATCTCATATCATGTATCATATCTTGTAATCATATAATCATATTACTTATAATCACATAACTTCTACTCATAGGGTTCAACATCATTAAATTTATTTCACTTTTTCATATTATCATACATTTATATATTCTTATATGTCCTATCAATAACCTATAAACTTACTCATATTCTCATATATCCTATTTTAATATAATTTGTATAGTAATACTCTATAATTGTATCATATAATGATTTTACCCAAGTACTCCTTTATAAAGTTTATCTTATAGGTTCAATTAGTCTCATTCTATCTTATAAATAATTTCCACTTATTTTATATCATTTTCCCTTTCCACTCACATAAACCATTTATTTATTTAGTTCAATTTCTCATGACTTCCACAATACTATTTAATAAAACTTTGTAGCTCTTCACTTTAATACATAAACCATAGTTTCCTTTAATTTATCAATCTTCCCTATATAACTTATGTATCCTTATTTATGTTTATGCCCTCAAATTTATACTATCCTCGTAGAGTCTCCTAACATTTCTCGTATAATCACTTATACCATATCATATGACTTATACTTGATTATCTTATTCTCTCATGTTCATTTCATTTCTTATAACTCTATCATATAACTTATTCCATATTTTTTCATTATTACATAATAAAGTTTTACATAAATCATATAGCATATACAAAGCATATCATTATCTTTAGTCATGCATACATACAATCAATGTAATACATATAATCACATATAATTATAACCAACACATAATCATGTCCATGACTTCATGCATATTACTCTAGGAAATAGACTCATCGCAAGTCTTATTTCCATTAAACACTACATGTCACTAGTATGCACTCACCTTGGCCTCACTAATCAATTCCAATCTCTTATCATTCCCTTGATCGATCTTACTTGCCAAATGTTCCGGAATTGCTTTACGCTCAGAATCTACATAAATGTACATTTAAGGAAATCATTAAATACCTACACCTTGTAATTTGATACTAGCAACTTAAACGAACTTATTAAACCAATATTCACATTTTTTTCCTTTAGGGGGAATCGATTCCCTCATGTGGGGGAATCGGTTCCCCTATGAGATTCTGGAATTTCTGGTTCGCTTGAGGGGTATCGATTCCCCATTGAATGGGTACCGATTCCCCTTGAATGGGTACCGATTCCCCTTGCCCAGAAATCATATTTTCAGCACGAAATTTACTTTATTTCATCTTAAACACTTCATATTTAACCTCTTCTATATACTAAACTCAAACACACATACTTAAGCCCATTTGTACTCATTTAATCCATCTAAATTCTCAAAATCCTCTCCTCTTAATGAAATTCAAGAATTATACTCAAATTTCAACATGTTCTAAATTCCTTTCTATCACTCCAAATCTCTTAATTCAACTATTGACAAGTCAAATTCAACTTATCAACTTTATTTCAAGATTTCATTCAAAAACTCAAAATCTTTAATCTCTCCTATACCTTTCATCTTGTTGTTTTAGAACCAATTAAGCTTTCCTTAAGCTTAATTACCATCCAATGATCAAAACCCAACCTTTAATTGAACAAATAATCAACTAATGAAGAAACTTACCTTTGCCCTTGAGCTCTTACGGGAGGAGAAAGAAGAAAGGAAGAAGAGATGAAATGTTTTCATCTTTCACGTTTTAATCTCCTATTAAAGGGGATAAAAATATATTTTATTGTCAAATGACCATTTTGCCCTTTACTACTTTGGATAATTACTAAAAACTTCTAGGGATTATCTCCACATAAATCATTGAACTTTTCAACTTTTCCACTTTAATCACCAAATTCTGAAATTTTACAATTTAGTCACTAACCCATAATTTGGGATGTTACACAGGAGGTTTTCTTTGTGAATTTTCTTAGTGCAAACTTAGGCCGGGCTCCAGCTAGACAGGCTGCATTAGGTGCGGGTCTTCCGAATTCCGTCATTTGCACCACTGTTAACAAGTTTGTTCATCTGGGATGAAAGGTAAAATCCTCTTTCTGTATTGAAGGATGTTGATTCTTTGATGTCTTATTGATTATTCCTTGTTATCCCAGCGATGATGCTTGCATCGCAAACTATCCGGTTAGGCATCAATGATGTTGCGGTTGCTGGTGGTATGGAAAGCATGTCAAGCGCACTCAAGTATTTGGTAGAAGCAAGGTGTGCATGCATCCATGTTTTTGTTCAGTCTTGAATTGTTTCATGCTGTTTTTTTGCAAAAAATAAAAATAAAATATAAAAGAAAATTCATTGAATTAAGAGTGCACTTTGTCTTGCAAATGTTGATGAAATTTAATGAACTTAACAATAATTCTGTTACTAGTTCAAAGAGTATTCTGACATGAGCATTGAACTGAATTGCAGACCCTGTACCTGTCAGGGTCATTATCTAGTTAATTAGTCACTTTTTTTCTGGTTTAGTCCATTTCCATTTTATGGTCCATGTTCGGGGTTCAGGGCTCCCTGTCCCAGCAAGGTTGTCTCCAAGGTTCAAACATGGGTAATGGGTTCTCTCCTTGCGGGTGCAATGTGCCTTTTCATTGCACCCAACACTGGTTGGTGGTTCATTAGTCACTCCCGTTTGGAGGGTTATTTTTTTAATGAAGATTTCATTTATAGGAATAGATTGGTGCTTCATTTGATGGATATGTCAGTGAACCGATATTTACACCACAGAAGATTACTGTTTGCTTAAAAGAAATAATTTTCTGCTTCTTGCAGCTCTTAATAAACTGGATGGTTCTCTAAAGTATTTGTTGATTTTTTTTATCTATATGCTGTCGTAAGCCATTGAAAGTTTATCTTCGATTCGTGGGCAGAAATGGATCTCGAATAGGACATGATACCATTGTAGATGGCATGCTCAAAGATGGGTCGTGGGATGTATATAATGATTTTGGAATGGGAGTATGTGGAGAGTTATGTGCTGACCAACACAACATTACGCGAGAAGAGCATGTTTGGGTTCTTTGTGGTCAATACTATCTCAGGGGTAACCTTATATCTTCCCGAGTTTTCTGCATATTAATGCTCTCCATATGTTATAATGTTCTGTTTGCAGGATGCTTATGCTATTCGTAGCTTTGAGCGTGGAATTGCAGCTCAAAACAATGGTCTCTTGGCTTGGGAAATAGTTCCAGTGTGGTTTCTAATCTCGCTCTGTAATTAATTGAAATTGATAGTTTATGTTATTCTGCTAACATAAATGCCCAAATTTGTACATGTAGGTTGAAGCCGATATACATGTTACTATAAAATTTGCTGTTGATTTGTTTTTTTTCCCTTCAAAGTTGATTAGAAAAAGTCAGAGCACAGGTTTCATGTATTCAGATAGCTGCTGATCTCTAGAGCATTCAATCAGCAGCTCATGAGACAGCAGAAAAAGGAAGAACCCATAGTGGAATAAAAAACATAAAAAAGGGTTAGTTTATGTTTAAAACATGTCACAATGATCCATAAATTGGACAACTTTCATTGACAAGCTTAATGTTATATTTTCTGGATTCTGTGTCTTCATTTTATCTTTTGAAGCAATTGTACTCTTTAACAATACGGTAAGAACAGGAACGTGAGAAAAATGGTTTATATATGACATAAAAATGGAATAATAAATAATAAGAATATGATATAAATATACAAATGTTTTAAATTTGTTTATAACAAGATAAAAATGAAACAATATAATTCTAGTACATAACTTGCCAAGTGTAGATACGTTGGGCATAGGTATCGGGAATATTGGCATTGCTAGTTTAGATATACACCTTGCCTAATTTAAATGCATAACTCGCTAAAAGAAAAGGCTTCATGAAAATGTCGATGTCATCAACAGAAGCCTGTAACACATACAGATTCTCGAGCAGTGGAGGTGAAATAGAATAAAATCAAGTGAATTATTTGAGACAACTGAGGGGGGGGGGGGGACATTGGCGTTCATCAAAGAAGAAGAAAACAATTTGTTTTCTTTCGATGTTGATGGTGTTTGGGGCGAACATAGTGGTGGGTAAAAGCCACTCAAGTATGGATGCCCCGTCTTGGACGCTGTCCCCTTCCATTGATTCCTCTGCCAACGCCATCACCGTGTGTGATTAAACCTTCAGAAATATCTTGATATCTCCCCTGCATTTTATTATCACGTATGGGCGTTAACATGTTAATGTTTTCTGGCGTACAATATTTTTCCAAACCGATGATTTTGAACATGCTACAATTTCTATATGTTCATCATTCCCATTTGTTATTTTTCTCTATAGTTGTCAGGCATAGTGTGGCAGAGGGCCAGCCAATGCAATAATTACAAAATGCAGATTAAAATTTGTTAAAATAGGAAGCAACTACAAACATTTGGCTTTTTCCATGTAATGTATCCATCAACATGAAAACTTCATCCACATCTTACCAACATCCATTGGGGTGTTCATGATAATTCTTCTCCCTAAAGAGAAACGGATTGGGTTTGCAATTAATGGCAACAAATGCTAAAAGAAATCGAATTCCAGATAATTGTCTGAACCCTTTTTATCATAAGCAGCTGCACTGACAGCAGCCTTTTCACTTGATGCCGGGGAAGCTGTTACTCGTTCAAGCTCCACTGGCTTTGGAATCTCAGGTGGGGTAGCACAACGAATCAATGCCCAATTCACACCTTCAAAGAAGGGTTGTTGCTTAATCTCGGTTGCCCCTCGTTTATAAGCCAATCTATGTTGTGGTTCTTTTACAAGTAGTCCTCTTATGAGGTCCCTTGCTGCAAAACTCACAACGGGTGATTCTGGAAACCTAAGATGCTCTCCTATGACATTGAACAATGTTGCCCGGTTGCCAGATCCCTTAAAAGGGGTTTTACCAAACAAAAGTTCATAGAGGAAGATTCCAAAAGTCCACCAATCAACAGCACTTCCATGGCCCTCACCCTTTATGATCTCTGGCGCCAAGTACTCATGAGTCCCCACAAATGACATTGACCGGGCATCAGTTGGCTCTGCTATTAGCTCGGGTAATGGGCTAACTTGGTTTGCAATTTCACATTTTGGCTTGCGGTCTTTCTTGGACTTACTAGAAAAGAGACGGGGAGAAAAGCAAGTTGTTGGAGCAACGCAAGACGGCTGAATGCAAGAAGGTTCAATGCAGGCAGGCTGAACACAGTAAACTGGGTTCTTTCTTAATGTATCTGATTCGAGAGAAGACGTCCTGACAAGAGTTGGGCTGACAGAACAACGAAGGGAAAGATCAAAATCAGAGAGCATTATATGACCATCTTCCCTCACAAGAACATTTTCTGGCTTAAGATCACGATAGATGATCCCAAGCATATGAAGATATTCCAGTGCTAGCAAGACCTCTGCCACATAAAATCTGCAATGCAGAATAAATTTCAACAAATTTTATTCCATATGAATAAATGCAAATAGCAAAAAGGAAATAAAATGAAAATTTTCATTACTGAGCTTCCACAAAGTTGTTCCTTTTAAAGAGATTCTCATTCAGTCCAACATCAGCAAACAAGTTTTTCAAGGCAAGGTGTAAGGTTTTTAAACTTTATAGCATGAACCAAAATTTTCAAACAAATTATTGCACAATAATACCTTTCAAAGGATTAGCTACCCTTTGCAACATGGTCGATGGTACAATCCCATAACAGAAAAAATGGTCTTGAAAAGACAACTGTGGGCATATATGTTTCAAAAACATCAGAAAACTGAAGCATTTTTCTATATTTCACTTAGGTAGATGCTTAAAAATATAGGAATTACAAGAGACAAGAACCCCAAAGCCCTTCAAGCAATCAGACAACTTAGGATTGAAAGCAAGCACATCATAGATGGTTGAAAAGTAAGCGAACAAGAAAAGGCATGCACATGATAGTGAAGAACATGAAATATCTTTTCAGATTTGATTGTCATACTTTACTGCCTGCTCGGGAAAATGTTTCCTGGGTTGCTTCTGCCTGAGGGTGTGCAAGTCTCCACCAGGACAAAACTCCATTACCAAACAGGAGAACTTCTCTGTCTCAAAATGTGTGTAAAGTGTAGGAAGGAAGGGATGATCAAGAGATTGCAGTATCTCTCTTTCTGTTTGAGCCCGAAGCAGTTTCTTACGACTTGCTAAAGATGCTTTGTCCATAACCTTAATTGCAAAATAACACTTAGTTCCACTCAAATCCGACAGATAAACACTCCCGATGTCCCCGCAACCCAACCTCCTTAGCAGTCTAAAATGGCTCAAACCTAGAATCCCATCTCTTGCCTTGACAGCCTGGATAGCTTCCCACCTCAAGTCGTTTGCTTTGTGAGGCTTATTGATACTACTACTAAAGCTGCTGCATGTGCTTTCTTCACTCACATCACTACTTGTGCTACCTCTGCACATGCTGCTCTTGCCACTCTCAAGACGGTCAAGACGGTCACTAATCTTGGGAAGACTACTAGACCCATCGCTAACTTTGGCAGATACTGAGCTGTTTTTAACACTTCCATATTCTGATATTTTCTTTTCTTGCTTAGCAGAAATTTCGGATGAATCTACTCTGTCTGATGCTTTTTTAGCACATGATGTAAATGAGCATGACTCCAACTTCTTGCTTAAAGACTCAACAGAACCATTTTGATCAAAAATGGGTGACCTTTTCTTTTCAGAAGCATCAGCCACACCTTGTTTTCGTGCAGTCTCTACTGACCGGAGAAGGCACTCCGACATAGCCAGCTCAGATTTGTTCGTCTTCTGTTGCTGATTGGGAGGAATTTTGGAACTAGATTTTGAGGCCATTAGGGGATATGAAGAATTTCAAATACTCTGATCAAATCTCACATAAACATAGTTCAAAATCATTACAAACAGCACCATGTCTGCATTTGGAGTTCAACATAGCTTCCCCCTCTAACTCCACCAACAGCTAACATAAAAAACCAAAAAAAAAATCATAAGAACAACCCATCATGATTCAATTAGGTCAGACAGTATAACTAGATGATCTACAATGCGAGAAGAATCCAAGAAGCATTTAAAATACAAATGCTAGTCATTTGCCCAAACTAAAAAACAAAGAAACAAATCTATCACCAGAGGAGCATAAATTATCTAAGCAAAGCTGGAGCAAATTCTTACGAGCCAAACAGTTGCCGGATTTTATGTTAGAGGGCGAACTTCTAAAATTTTAATAAGGCACGGTCCATCCCTGGTTAATAAATGTCAGATCAAAAGGCACCGCCGACCAACACATGAGCAGAAAATAAGTTAGTACCTCACTAAAAGAGAGAAAATAGCCATTACAGATAAAACATAGCATAAAAAAAGCAGCATGCAAGGAACAGAGGTTGCTCGATTAAATGAAACCTAGCATAAAAAATGAGCAGAAGGCTGTAAAAAGAAATCCCAAAACAGTGAAAATTTGAACTGAAATCAGATCTCCATATAGATTTAAAAAGGTACGAGTTTTAAGTGAAAAACCCAAGGCAGATCCAAAGCAGAAAAGAAAAACCCAATCACTGAAAACCGAAACAATAGGAGAGAAAATAATAGCATTAAGCAAAGAGAAGCAAAAACGCCATTTGAGCTAAAAAGGTAAGAGAGGAGAGAGAGTACCAATGAAATCAAACTACGAGAGATGAGTGATTTGGTTAAAGGAGAACGCAAAGAGGACTGTAGAAGAGGAAATGTAGCTCCTTTGTTAGCTACCTAAACAGTTAACGCCGCACCCACCCCAAACACCCAGTTGGGTTTGCTATTTTATAAATAAAAGCCTTGAACTTAAAAAAGGTCAAACTATATTAATTTTGGACTAAAAACACAAATAGTAATTGTTTTACTAAATTACTTAATTATTAAAAATTATAAAATAATATTTTAATTATAGAGTATTATTTTTTAGATATTTTAACTATTAAAAATTATAAAATGATCACTCGACTATTTATTATATTTCAAATTCATTCTTTTTCATTGAAAAATGGACGATATTCTGAACTGAATGTTAACCTATTAACTATGATATAATAAAATCTGATCTTAGAATCTCAAACGGTTATCATATTGTAGTCATTATGTTAACGTGTAGCTTAAATAATTTAATAAAAATGATGAGTTTGAAATATAATGAATAGTCGAGTGATTATTTTATAACTTTTAATAGTCGAGGGACTTAACAAAGTAACATTTTATAGTCAAAGGACGATTTGATAACTTTTAATAATAGATAAACCTAGTAAAACAATATCTTATAATCAAGGGATCATTTATGTACTTTACCCATTAAATTTTTAGTTTAAGTATCTAAACTATCTTCTTCTTTTTTTTTAATAATAACGGCAGCTCTTCATTTATTAACACACATGAAACAACTAAAGTAAAGAAACTAAACGTGGAATCTAGTTAAGACCCACCCAAACAACTAAATTGAAAGTCGAGAAAGAAAGTAGAGCCTAAAGATGAACTGGTGACTACCAGAGTGAATCAAGGCCGGGAACCGCCGCCATGCAGTGAGCCACCATGTTTCCTTCCCTGGGAACGAAACTAAACAAGCATGCAATGAAGGACTCTGTCCGTCGTTGTGTCTCCCAAATCAAAGCATTGATTTCAGAAAAATCAGGAGAGCTGGAGCTGAGTTTCTCTATTGTAGTCTTGGAATCGTCCTCACAGTCACCAACATAAACCCCATCTCAATCGCGAAGATAACCAAATGCAGCGCTGCAACCGCCTTCGCCTGAAAAGCTGAGGTAATCCTACAAACTCTTTTGACAAGCACCCATTATCAATCCTTCATTGTTTCGAATTACGATACCTGACCAAGACGTTTTTTGTGACGGAAAACCGTGCATCGAAGTTTATTTTTACCATTGGAGCGATAGGGGGCTTCCAACGGAACTGGACAGGCCGAGATGGACCTTGAAGTCTCGCGTTAGCCAAGGAGAAGTCCAGACATTGAGATTAAACTAGCGCCACCATGTCCTCCGCCTTCCTAAGCAGCCCATCATGGTAATGTTTATTCCTTGCATACCAAAGTGCCCAAATAGCAGTTATAATTTCCGCATGCTTACTAGTGGGATAAAATTGAAATAATCATACTAACCATTCTAACATAGAGCCAGCAGCAATGTTCGGGGGCCAATCATAATTCAAACGAACCCACACTAGAGGCAAGAACACAATCACGAATAATATGAATACTTGTCTCCACTTCACCATCACACTTCGAGCACATTGAGTTATGCATGATACGTTTGTTAAATAAATTATGCTTTTACAGGATGTAATTACGTACAAATTTCTAAGCTTAGATCTTTATTTTTCGTTGACACGAACAAGTCCAAATTTTATTAAAAACGGGTTTCTCCTGCTGTGAGACTACATCCTCGTCCAATAACAGTATACAATCTCGATTTCTCACCCCCCCCCCCAGACTCGACAGTCTTCTTGGGGAAACCAAGAAAGTGGAATACCCGCAATCAAATCTGCATCCTCTACATCGAATATCTCAGCAACCATATCAATGTTCCAAACCCCCGAATCAGTTATGATCAAATCCGCCACCCTCCCAATCGTTTCATTCTCATTCAAAGTAACGAGTCATGGAGGATGTACCGGTAACTAGTAGTCATTCCAGACTCAGATGGAGCTGTCCGTCCCAACCTTCCACCCCAACCCTTTCAAGAGAAGGCTTTTTGCACAACGAATACTTCGCCAAATGTATGACAGTGCAACTCCAACACTAGAGCTCAAGAAATTTCCCGTCGTGTAAGACTTTGTACGAAAGAGATGACCTACAAGCGAAGTAGGATTCATAAGAAGCCTCTAACCTTGCTTAGCCAGCAAAGCGATGCTAGATTTTGCAAGATCACGAAAACCCAAACTCTAATTTTCTTTTGACTGACAGAGGGCACTCCAAGAAACACCAGTGAATACCCATTTTGATCTCTGATTTTTACCACCAGAAACAATTCGTAGCGAATAGAGGAATAGCTTGGAGTACAGATTTTATAAAGGCCTCCTTACCTCCTTGAGATAGAGCCCTCACACACCAGTTCCTTATGCGGCTTTACAATTTGTCAAATAAATATAGGAAAACCCTCTTCTTGTTTCGTCTAACTATACAGGGAAGGCCCATATATTTTTCAGGATTTGTTTCATTTGTTACCTCAAAAACTCGTCGCACATCACTTCTATTTGCATCAAGCACATTTGTACTGAATTTGTTTTGACTTGTCCAAATTGATGGCTTATCCCGAACTTCCCCCATAAATTCGAAGTATTTCCTTGATTTGCAAAGTTGCGTGTGCAGTCACTTCCCCAAAGATGAGGTTGTCATCCGCAAAGAGAAGATGAGAAACTCTTAATTCGAACTCCTTGCAAGTCCCCCGAAAAAAGGGTCTATCGCAAAAGCGCAGAGAGTCCCTCACTACAAATGAAGAAAAGATGAGGACTTAGTGGATCACCTTTTCTGAGCCCTTTCCCGCATAAAACTGTTCACCCGCAATCCTATTGAGAACAACCGAATATGATACTATGAAACACAATTTTTAATGCGGTCAATCCATTCTGGAGCGAAACCCATCTTCTCCATAACAGACCAAATAAAATAAAATAAATATTATAATTATTATATAATAATTTAAATATTCAAATTACTTTTCTTTGTCAAATTTCAAATGGACCGGTCTTCATTTATAATATTATTGTCGGTAAAAATAAATTTATATTAAGATGTGTCAAAATATACGTTTTAGAGTTTTAAGTGCTTAATAAATGGTTAATTCTTACTCAAAATAAAAAAAAATGTTTATAAATTTGTTTACTAGTCAAATTGGTATTAAGTTTAATTTTAGACAACCATTCCCTTCATGAAAATATTATTTAATTTATTTAAAAGAATATATTTTATATTTTACACACCAACTCCTTTATTATTAGTTTAACCATCAATAACTAAATTAAGATTAGGGTAACATTATAGTGACTGAATTTACAAAAAAATTATTTTGATGACCAAAAAAAATTTAATTGTGTAGTTAGTAATGTAGTAATGTATAAATTTTTTTACCAAAATAATTCCTAATAATATTTTTTTTCTTAATCCAACATTCTTTTTAGATTATTTCCTTAAATTATAATTTATCATTTATATAGGTTTTTGTCATATGTGATCAATTAAATTACTATGAAGAGTGTTTTATTTATTTTAGGATTTTATGGTAAATTTTTAGGTTTTATAATTTATGATTTAGAGTTTTTAAATTTTATTAGTTTAAGATTATGATAAAATATATATTTTAGTTCATAACTTTGTCAAATTTAAATAATTTGAATTCAGACGAAAATTAAATTATCAAATAATCTTAATTTCAATTCGTTATATGATATTTTAATTATTTAATTTTTGTTTGTATTTTAATTATTTAATTTGTGTTTGTATTTTAATTATTTGAGTTTGACAAATTACATATCTTCTAATAAAATCCTAACTTTACACTCTAAATTATGAAATATAACAAATATTAATAATTCTTATATTAATGTAATATGTCACGTAAATAAAAGTGTGTTGATGTAACACCTTGATTTTTGGGTCAAGAATTTCGGGCTAAATCGACTTGTGAGTAGCCATAACCCAAGTATAAAGTGAATTGGGCTTAAATGAGCCCATTATGGATTAGAAAAGGGTATTTTTGAATTGAGGGTAATATAGGAAGGATCAAATAATCAATTTATCCCATTTTCTACAAAAGCTGAAAATCCTTATTTGGTATGAAGTCACCCATGCAAGAGAATCCCATCTCTTTTTCCTTCATACTTTGTCTTCTTCTCACCATTCAAACTTCTTTCATTCTTCTTCTTGTTTCCAAGCAAAGGTGAAGACTTGCTAGTCTTCATTCCTATTTCAGATTAGTGAAGGTAAATGATAGAATCATCAACTCTCAAGCTCCCATTCAAGCTCCTCTTTTAGAGTTTTGGCCATGAAAAAGTTTTAGTAGGGGTTTTTGGGACCTTAGAAAGATTCTAGCTCATTTTAATGTATAAAACCATGTTCCTACCCATTCCAAGCCTTTTATATAAGCTAATAACTCAAAAACCTTGATTTTTTTAGTAAGAGAAATGAGTGAGAGCTCAAGAAGGAAGGACAAGGAGAGAAAAGTGCTTGGTTGAGCCTTGAGTTGTTCTGTAACACCCCCAACTCGAATCCGGCCTGAATCCGAGTCTGAGGTGTCACATTGACTTTTTAAAACATTTATTTGTATAAAATAGTGAGTATTTTAAAAACTTTTATAACATATAACTTATTCAAAACGTTTATAGAACTATTCAGAGCTTATACAATTCAAATCTTTTAAATACATGCCAACTAGACTTTTATACCATAAAATACATTTAAATTATCTATTTTCTGATCTGAAACTTTGTAAGGAAAATGTTGACCTGACTTGCACCTCAACAATCCATAAGCTTGTAAGAACCTGCGTGTGAAACACTCACACGCTAAGTCTATGACTTAGTGAGGCGAATAAATATATAATGTAAACTCTAACTTGTAATCATGCAGGAACAACTATTATTATCATATCATACACATCATATCAAATCATCTCACTCATATGTTTTTCATATAACAATTACATACATATAATCATTTATGTTTTTATCTTGCTCCTATAGTATTATACTTCATATCTCTTATTTCTTATTCATATGATCTCTTACATTCATATTCTATAACTTATAACAAA